GACTCTTTCCTCTCATGGTTGGCTTCTACTATCATCCACTGGGCTGATCTTACACGGTGTGCTCTGCAGTTATCATATCCATGTCATCACTTCAGGGAAACAGAATGTTACAGATTCGCTCTAGGATAGGGTCTCATCCTTTTTTTTTCTTTCAGATCAGCTCTGGACCAATTGCAAAACATATTTCTGGATTAATAAGTAGGTGGTTTTCCAATAAGATAATGCAAGAATAGTTCATACCCAGGTGGGCCATTTGCAGTTTTAGATCTTGTTTTTACTGTTTCTGTAACGATTTGGGTCGTTTTGTGCCTCTGTTGGCTGGTTGTGTGTTGATAAAAGGAGGTAAAGCACATTCTCAGGTGGCACCGAAGCTTTAACTTTTAATCACCTTCAATAGATTACCTTAAAGTGGGGAAGCACTCCTCAGAATATTGTGGCTGACTTCCTATCTTCAGTTTTTGAAAGGTTCTGACCCTCTACTGCCCGGTACCGATTTATTCTTAAGTACAATCATAAAACAGATATGAGAACAGTGTATATTTTTTCTAGCCTTCCTGCTATGACCGGGCATTTTTTATTTAAATTAGAAGTGGAGGCAACTTCACCGTGCATGTTTAAGATAGCGGTTACTATTTTTCTACATGGATCAAATTATTGCTGTTTGCATTTTAAACAAGCAGTTTCTGTGTCTCTATGTGCCTAAAACGGTGTAGTCTTATATTAACTCTGAGATTTCCAAAAGATTGCCAACATTTCCAAACCCAACATGTTCTTGAACAGACTGAAAGATCATAAGAGCTGAAACAGAGAAGCTTTGCTGTAATGCACTTAGACTTACTATTATCTTAATAAAGTTTTGCTCTCTCTCTCTCCCTTTCTTGCAGCCTGAATGAACTACAGACAGGCCATAAAACATAAAATTAAATTCTCCTTTAAATATCTTCTTACTCCCAAAGAGCATCATTGTACGAATGGTGCTCTGGGCAAGACGATCATTTCTGCATTTCAGCACCTCACCCACTATGCATAAAACCAGAACCATTAAGAGCTACAAACTCAGACAGATCGGTTGACAAAAGGTATTTATAAAACAAAGCAAACACTAAAGTGACACCATCTCCAAAAATATTGCCAATCTGTAAAAAGAACACATATTATTCTACTGTACATGTTACACACTATTTTTTTATTCTATAGACATTATAATTGACTGTAATATAAATTGATATATGCTATATATCTTCATACACACACTTTTTTGCAGCTACTTGTGCTGAAAACTAGATGCAAGATGCTGATGTATAAAAAAATCTAAGTCTAAATCACATTTTGTTCCTGTTTGGCATCAACTGGGAAAATCAGGCTGTTACAAACTCTGGCTTTAAGCCAACAACTTTTCATGAACAAGAGATTTAGAGCTACATATTATTATCATGAACAACAAACAATAATGCAGAGCAATCATAAAAGTGTTGCAGATATGATGCAGTTTGTGCCAAAGAGGAAAAATCCTTTGGATTTTTTTCTGTTGCTGCATGCTAAACCACACCATGACTGATCAGTCACGGTGGCTAGTCATGATCGCCATTTCCTTCTTGTAATTGAAGGAAAATTAAAGTATAGTTATGAACCAGCTGACTGGCAGTGCACAGTAAAAGCTTGCAGAGATGCATTGCTAAGTCATCAGGCTCCATGAAGCTTGAGAAAATATCCAGTCACCCTGGAGGATTCTGCATTTTTGCCAGCCAGCTGGCCAGTAAATGTGCTACAGTTTGATATTTTATGAAGTAGATGAAATGCTGGTCAAATGTTTTGATGGGTCAGAGAAGGTTAGTTATTGTTTATGTAAGGCTTTTCTGCTTATAAACATTTCTAAGATAAGAAATACATAAATGATCGTGGCTAAAAGCTGCTCTATTAGAATGTTGTTTTTTATTAAAAAAGTTTAGTCTACTGATTGTAAAGGTGTGTATTTATGTGCTGACACTTGATTTAGTTCAGTTCTTATTTAAACCTTTTAAAGCAATAGACCATTCATTTTAATGTCAAAAAACACGAATTACATTTTTCAAATTACATATTTTCATTCTCACCCAAAATAAGAAAGCTAAGATATTGAGTTCCCTAAAGCTTGATATTGTAAAACAGACAACTTTGTGAAAGAAAAGCAGCTGAAGTCTATGTCTGCGATGCAAAGTCTCAGAAAAGGAAGTCAGTAAAACACGCACACACAGAAAGAGGTAAAGGGCATGGAAAAAAGACGAGCACAGTCCAGATAAATCCCAAAGCACACAATGAGTTGCTTACAAAAGTGCGGGAACAAGCACAAGGGAGCCAACAAGGAATAATAAAAAAGAAAGCAGCTAGAAAGTTTGAATGAGTGCAGAGTACAAAGACTATCCGAGAAGCAGCCAGAGAAACCCTGGGGGCCTACATACACTGAGTAATGACCCGATCGAACACAGGTGTGGCACAAACCTGCAGGGAAATACAAGTACACAGAAAGAGCTAAAGATGCAGCTGGAAATACAACAGAAATTAAACAACAACAACAACAGAAAAAACAACCAAAATATCAATCTGTTCATTTTTTACTATTAACAGTTAATATACATGTGAATAATTGAAATTTCATATGTAGTCAACGCATTAAAGACCTTCTTGAAATATCTTCGAAACAAAACCATCAATAGTTACTATTTTTACAGCAGCCTGAATAAACTCTGCATGACTTTAACGACTGGAAATCCACATGAGTAGTTAAAACAACATTTTCAATCCTCGCCACAGTGAGTCCGGTTCTGCTTTTCTCCGCGGACCGACGCATTGGAAGCATTTGGTTAATGGCAGATTAGAGAAAAGACTGAGCAGCCGACCACAGGGGTCACCTTCAGGACCTGCTACTGATTATTCCTATCATTAGCATGCCACGTCTCATGCTGTCCCACTCTAATTATTACTGACACAGGCTTCGGGGTCATATGACAGAGCCATTCCAAACTGCCCACTGCAACACCGTAACTCTCACACCGACAGGAATGGTGAAACGTGGCAACAGATGTGTGGAACAACGACCAAAACCCATCAGCTCTGCTCCCAGGACCCATTAATGGTATCGTCGTTTAATATCATTAAGAAAAAATGAGGCTTTTTGATTCAATAGATGGCAGACTGAGAAATATTATGATAATAGCAACATTCCCCAAAGGACCTGCTCACTCTGAGTGGTACTTTTATCTTCATATCCCTTCACATGCAGGAGCATCGCTGTCTGTCATGTTTAGTTTTAGTGGTTCAAGGCAGAAATAATCAAAGTGTGTCGCTTAATATCTTTGAAGGAAACTTGGTTCTTGCCACTGCTTTACAGGGGACCTGTTGTGCAAAATTGTCTTTTTGTACATTTTTGTACTTTCATTTGGGTCTTTACTGCTTCTAGAAACAGTCCAAAGGCAAAAATAAATAAATAAATAAAAATTCAAAAACTGTCACTTCAAAATGAAGTGACAGTCGGAGGGCACTGCCCCTCTCCTAGCAACCCAAGCAGAGCTCGAACACATTTGGTCAGCTAGCTTTACCGCTGTACAATGGCCGCATGTCCATGAGGATTCGCTCAGTCATGGAGGCCAGATCAGCTTGGCTTCATTTTGCTTTTTAATTACAATGTTGCAGCCACATTGCCAAAGAAAACTGTAGTTTGTACAAATCACTTTACGAAGGACTCTTGAAAACTACATGACAGAATTTACCAACAGAGCTAGCTTGACGCTCGGGTAGAGCGAGGCAGATTTCCAGCCCAGATAATCAGGATGCAATGGTGGTGTCCGAAACCACAGCGATTTTAAAAAAAAAAAAAAAAAAAAAAAAAAAGGCAGTTGACTTACTGTTCAGAAACCGCTGTTGCGTCCTGCAGGCTCCGCTTCTTCTGCTTCTTGGTTTGACTCATCGATTTGACGATGTACTGTTGTATCCGTTTGCAGACATTTTCACATGAATAAAGTTTAAAAACTGATTTGGGGTGCCAGCAGCAGTGATGTAGCTCATGTCTACTACTAAGACCCACCATGCATGCATTTACATTGAAGCCAATACCATTAACATGGCATGCCAGAGGGGGAAAATTAAGAAAAAAGTAAATAAAATCTTGACTTTTTAAAGTGTTAAAGCCCAATGTAGCATCTACTCATTTGCCCATTTGCAAACAGATTAATATCAGTTAACTTTCTGTAAAAGACTATGGTCTATCTGAGCTTTACCATTCAGAGCAAAATCCATCACTGCTTGGGGTCACCTGAGTTTGGGCCGACCATCTGAGTCAGGTCGAACCACCGGGAAATGAAATACAAAATCACTTGTTTACCAAGACTTTTACTAACTTCAGCAGATCAGCTCAGTTTCTTTATATCTTGATATTTCACTGACCCGAATATGTTCAAAGCAAGCATATTTTTCCATCAGTGCACTTTTGAAAAACTTTCATAAAACCCTGGCAGTGGAGAACCATACTTCTTTTCCCTGCTATGGTTTTACAGTCAAGCTACTTTTGTGTAAGAAGGATAGTGAGTTATTCTAAGTTCACTGAAAATTCGAGACATTCGATTTTTTTTTTTTTAAGTTTGCATGCCCATTGAGGTTTAAAGTTGAACGTTTGGCCGCCGTGTGAAATCCCAATCTAAACCCAGTCATTTTTTATTACTGTTGATGCTTTTTTTTTTTCCTGCTGAATGTGTGGGCAGTGAGGTTGGCAGGTTCAGATGGTGTAATAGGTATATATTTCACGGTTACTATGTTAAACCATCACACCACAGCTCTTGGTGCTCTTCTTTTTATACCAGAACTGAACTACAACAAAGCTGTGTCACATGAACAGCTAACTGTGGTCACTTTTGTCTACTTAAGTTTGGCATTTTAGTGCTGGGAGCTGTATTTTAAATGTGGTGAGTACCCATTCTAGCCTTTTAGCTAATTCTGTTTTTGTTTGTTATTTCTTTTCTTTCCTTTAGCTGCTGGCTGCACATTTGAAGAGGACTCGGATCCTAATCTGTGTGACTTCACCCAAGGGGAGGATGATGACTTTGACTGGATGTTGTTTCGGACATACAGCTCGCCTTCGGCCAGCAGCGACCTCTTGAGGGGTAAGTCCTCCTCTTTTCTGCTTTGGCTATTTTAGCCAAATTTTCTGATACAAATCACAAAGCTTGTTGTTCTCCGAGACTACTGGTGAAAATTGCACGCATCCCGTTGGCCAAACACGAGGACATTCAGTAAGCAGCAGGTAAAGTTGATCAGTGCGTAAACCACAGTGGCAGGTTTCCAATTTGCACAGGAGTGATATCTTACCTGTCGGGGGCTGTAGTGCTCCCAAGGTGCCAGTTTACTGCTCCTGATTTTCAAGTCAGTAGATGAGCGAACAGTAAAGTGGTGTCAGATTTCTGGTCTATAGCAATTGCCAGAAACTCCAGAACCATTTCGTAGGTGCCGAAGGATTAACCCAAAGTTAAATTGCGTCAGCTGTGTTTTTTTTTTTTTTTTTTTTTTTTTTTTTTAATGAGAATGCAAAAAAAACCTGACAAAGTTGGGTTATATGAGTGGCTACATTTTGGTGTGAGAAGTTAGTCGGTGTTTTGTTTGGTTCTCAATCTCGGCAGCACATAGGACTCTGTGCATGATTCCTATAATTAGTCCTACAACTGTAATGATGTGGAAATTAACAGATGCAATTTCACAATTAAAAAAGTAAAATTAAATTGCATACGGACAGAGGATATTTACAGAAATATTTCTATTCAGAATTGATCACACAGCAAGTTTATAGATAGATTTAGTGTGGATAAAATTGTGTGAAAACTGTGAACAATGTGTTTTCAGATTAGGTCAGAAATCGTCGTTTAGAATAAAAGAATGGACACGAAATTGGATTTTACTGCAGCACAGTTTCAATAATCATGCGTCACGTTAAACGTTACAAAAACCTGCCAGTTTGGTTCTGTTCCTTGTAAATGATGTAAATCTGTAGCATGTCTATGTTGGATTATTGACAAGCATGTCAAGATGTTTGAGTTACAGAAGCAATCTTGAAAACTTTTGGACTAATGATGGTTTATGTATCATTGGTAACACTTTATTTGAAGGGGGGTGAATAAGACTGTCATGACACTTTCATTAACATGTCATAACATGTCATGAACATGAATAAGCCTTCATGAATATTTATGACTGTTGTCATAAAGCGTCATTCGGTAAATTATGACACTTTTATTACAAAGTTGACATTATTCAAAATGTCTTTGTTATGACATCTTGGCATTAACCAAGAAATCATTACTGTTTAAACTTTACCTTTAATAACATAAAGTTACCTCATTTTTAAAGTGCAATCAGTAATACTTTTATAACAAATTAATATCAGTAAATATTCATAAATATTCATGAAGGCTTATTCATGTTCATGACAGGTTTTTATGACAGTGTCATGTCACTCTTATTCAACCCCCTTCAAATAAAGTGTTACCGTATCATTTTATGCATTTTATGATTTTCTCTCACATGTGAATTTCTTTATACCTCCTACTCACATGCAGCCACTCAGGATAGTACATAATTGGACCATTAAGATCTTGGCAAGAAGGATAACCAGATTACAGTATTTTTATGATCTTAAGAAACTAAATGTGATGAACTTTAAAAATTCTTGAACTTATTTAGGCTTAAGTGCTCCTTATGTGTTTGCTGACCTGTTGGGGTCACTTTGAGCAACAGGTTCAGTCATTCATTCAGCTTCCAGCGCGGTAAACCCTCTCTAGGATGAGTCTTCTCTGTATAAGTGGTAAACATGGGTAATTCGTTGTAGGCAGAGCTAAAATTAATCTCTGACTGCAAACACTTTGGATTAAAAGTGAAAAAAAAAATTCTTGAGCAAGATCTACTATACATAGTCATGAAGGATCACTACCTTTCTTAATTTAATAATAATGTGTTTTATTATTGGCTATGTTAGTTTGGTGGGTTGGATCTTGATCGATGAGATGTTTTATATTTACATTTTAAATCTCTTTAAATTCTTTCTGTTTTTATGTGTCTGAAAGACCATCTATGTCACCATGTAGGTGGTAAAAGTTGACGTGTATTTGTAAGTACCTGTCCCTACACAACATAAATCAATGAGTAAAACTTAAATATTTGTCCTTGGGAGACATTTAAAGTACGTTTTTGTACACTAACACCATACAATGTTTTGTTGTTGGGTAAAAAGTTTACTTTCCTTACATTGTTTTTAATGTGTTGTTCTTTTTCTAAAATTTACCAAACTGTACATTTTCTGAATGTTTGGTGCTGTTCTTAGTTTCCACTCTCCGAGACGGCAAACTTGACTTCATGTTGCACTAGTGGCTATTTCCAAGTGTCAGAAAAGTTTGACTCTGTGCAACTCCTCTTACGTTCATGTCTGATGTCTTTAATTCATCAAGCTTAATGAAGCCCTCACCCTGTTTTTGTCTGCATTCTGCCAACCCCAAGGATAATTTTATGTTAAGCAGCCTCACAAGACTAATGAAAGCCAGCCCTTTCCTGCCATCATCCTCTCTACTGGTGACTGCCAGAGGGATACGACATGCATAGTTTATAAGCCGCTCCTCCATCTCCGCATTAACAAATACCTACAGGGGTTTGGCAAAGGGAGGGCTGCTGTTTCAGGTTCGCAGCAAAAAGAAAAAAGAAAGAAAATAAAATCATTGGCTACAACGGCCAATGATTTAAAAGCGCCTTTTACCGAAAAATTTGCAATATGATTTAGAAATAAACATCCCTCTGGTGTAGCTAATCAATCAGTCTATCATATGGTAATGAGAATTCAATAATCCTTTGACAAAAGCATGCATTGAAGTGTTTATTGTACAAGTGTAGCAGAGAGGGAACAATCGTGTTCACTATGAATATTACAAGCTCGTCGGAGGCGATGGACATGATTTGATGGCCAAGGAGACAGTTAATATGGCAGATATGAAGATAGATAAGCTGAGTGGAACAGATACAATCTAAACAGAGTTAAATGGATGTCCCAGGGGGAGCATTCTGTCTGTTTCAGAACCATCAGCTCAAGTAGCCTTTTAAAAAATGGTCAAAAACATACTCGAGGGGGAAATCAGGCCTGTTTCAAAGTCAACTTTTTTTTTTTTTTTTTCCATTTTGATTTACAGCTTGAAATTTCTCACATTTTTGTTTTGTGTCTGCAGGTTGTTATCCAAATACAATCCTGAGCTCGATAAATCCCGCATTTAATTCAGAGCCACACCTCACTCACCTCTACACCATCAGCATTCATGTGAGAATCCGCCTGCAGCCGCTAGCCTATTCACAGCAGGCAATGAGATAATTAATACTTTCCCCTTTGGGTTTAATTAAAACTCGCTGCCGTGGCATATACAACAATCCAGGGCCTTCATCGAAGCAGACTGGCGCAGGTGGAGCAAGGTAGGTACTGTAATCTGTGAGTGACGACGAGCCGAACATCAATCAGTTCGGAGTTCTGGGAGACTCGTTTGATTTGATGTGTGGCCTGCTTATCCTTCAGGAACGCTTTAGGAGAGCCACTCCTGTTATTCATCTTCTAGTGGCTGTATGTACTACATGTCCAAGCTGACATTTTCGGCGTTAATCATGCGTGATAACGTTGCTGCAGGTATGGGAGCACAAACTTCTTGCCTCCCCGTCTTTTTTTTTTTTTTTGACCTAATCCCCCTGTGTGCGGACTGCTAATGATGTATACATCAAGCAGCCGAGCCGGAGAGGGGCGGGGGAGAACACAGGTTTTATGAGATAAGGCTATTTACACTGGACCAGCATTAACTTTGTGGGGCTGAGAAATTGGTGTCGAGGGAAGATTAGTAAACACAGCTGAGATAGCAGCAGCTTGTAGGTCCCCGGAGAAATTAGAGACGACTACTCCCATGAAAGAGAAAATAGTCCTGGGAAAAAAAAAAAAAAAAAAGCCGAGGATAGACCGCGGAGAAAGATCTCCATAAAAACAGCACATTTCATCACAGCCGCCTCATTTGGACTCGGATTGAAGATGTTTGAGTGATATTGATAATCATTTGTCCTCCTGCTGTTTTAACAAACGAGTCAGGCGTGCAGGATGACGACCTTTGAGAGAAGAAGTGTTTGCATGTTGAGTGAAGCCGCTTTTACAGCAGTCAGAGCTGTTGTGGCTGAAAGTTATGAATGTGCTGCGTTATCCGTTATACTTTAGTACGAAAGGTTTGCCTTTAGGGAAAAATCTATTCATCATGCTTAAAGGGAGAACTGTGATGTATCTTACTTTGTCAGGTGTTAAATTTTAAATGTTAGCCACCCAGATTCTCCTCCTCTCTTAACACATTGAACAACTCATGCAAAATCCACCATCTGCACAAAGACTCCATGTACGAAGGTGTGATCAGAGAATTAATTTGGAAGTTAATTAGTTCATTTTTGCGTGGCGAGCTTTTTAAAGGCCATTAAGCCAAGTTAGATTTCAGACTGACCCTTTTTAACCCACATAGTTGTTTATGCATTAGGAAAATAGAAACAATAGGCTGATTAGGGAACAAACAGACCAGAAAATCATAATTTTATCAGATGTTTTTTTTTTTATTATTAATTTAAAGTACTAGCAGGGAATGCATTACACAACTGTCTGAAGGACAAATTGATGTAAAACGAGCATGAATCTTAAACTGTCTTTAGCATAATTTATTATAAATTGTCATGGTGACAAGACTGACTTTTCTGAAACAACAGTTTCTATGTGTATTCCAGAGAGACTGCAGATTCCTACCTTAAGAATGAGGTTTTCTTACTATCAGAGATTTAGAACGCTTTCAAATAAAACAAAGCAAGTTGGTCAGACTTTGTTCAACTTATCTACTGAAAGTCTTGCTCTTTCTCACTCTCACCCAGCCAGAACAAACAGCAGGCAAGCCTGGACATGCTATAGAAAATACAGTTTTCTATTTAATCGCCTCTAAGCATCTTATTGCTTCCCCGACTTTTTTTTAAACACATCTCCGATAGTAAAAAAAAAAACACCTTTGAGTCTTCTTCTCTATGAAACAGAATTAGAAAATCTATTGGAGGCCGTAACAATCATTCACCCTGG